TCCTCCGCGTAGTTGCCAGTCGACATTGACTGGCAGATGGAACTCGGAGGAGGCCTAATCTGTGAGATCTTATAGGTCGCGAGGAGGTAATTGGCAGAAGGCAGGAAACTAAATATAACAATATAAATCATAATGATATAAGTAACAAAGTTATAGTCATAAGTAGAAAAGGAGATAGGTAATAGGAAAGATGAGAATAATAATAATAATACAGCCTTACTAAATAGTTTGACAGTGCTGAAGGAATTAGTTGTTTAGCAGAGTGATGGCATTCGGAGGGGGAACTGTCCTTGTGTCTAGCTGTTCTGGTGTGCAGAGCCCTATAGCGTCATTTTGAGAGTAGAAGTTGAAACAACAAGGATGTGGGGGGGGGGGTCTGGAGATATTTTTACAGCCCTCTTTTTGACTTGTGCAGTGTACAGGTCCTCAATGGAAGGCAGGTTGGTAGCAATTATTTTACTTTTGTGATATTATGATAACTAAATTACTGCCGCATCAGCATTTTAAATGAATGGTACAGAGCATGTAAAAACAGCATTAGAAGAAACTATTTTTTTTTTCTTCTGATGTCTTACTCTGGATTGATAGCGTTTTTGGAGACATTTTCCTTTCTGGAAAAGAATGATTGCTATAATTTATTTGTTGTGGAGATCAACAAATCTCCTAGTCATATGTATAAGTGTTTGATAGCTTTGCTTTTTTGGCTGCTTCATTGTATGTTTTTAGTAATAAATATTTTGTTTTCATGTGACAGTGAGATGCATATTAGCTTGCAGACTTTTTTCCTTAAGGTTGTTTATTTGTAAGGTAAGCCTAAGAGCCAGTGCTGTCTGAAGACGTCTCTGTAGTCATGTGGCCTGCATGACTAAATGCTGAAGGCACACGGAACGGTGTTACCTTCCCACCAAAGTGGTCCCTATTTTTCTACTTGCATTTTTATGTGCTTTCGAACTGCTAGACTGGCAGAAGCTGGGACAAGTAATGGGAGTTCACTCGTTACGCGGCGCTAGGGATTTGAACCACTGAACTGCCGACCTTTCTGATAGACAAGCTCAGCATCTTAGCCACTGAGCCACTCCGTCGCTTCAAGTTTATTTGTACAATGTGGCATTTTATCATTGGGTGTTCTACTGTTAGAATAAATTGGTATTTTTCAGGTGTTTTCTTAGAAATAAAGTACTCTTCACTGTATTAGATAGAGCAAGGTTAGTGCTTTGATAAATAATTGTGATGTACTTTTAAAATGTAGGGATCTTATTATTATTTTTACCTTTGCCAGTATGCAAAGCTTGGCCTTTCGCTTGGTGTCCCAGGAGGAGGTATGAAGAAGAAATCTCCAGTTGCACCACAAAGTAAAGGAAGTGAAGCAGCTGTATCAGCTTCTCGTGGAAATGAGGAAGATGATGAATATGCCGGTGGATTGTGCTAATTCTAACTCTGTTCTCAAATACTATGTTAGCTGCTTGCCCAGTGAACAAATTCCAGGGGCAATTAAAATGGCATCATTGCAATCATGAAATTGGAAAGAAATGATCTTAGCTTTGGGATATTTGTATACAAAGCATGACTGTGCACCTTGAAGTATTTTTGGATTACAATCATTAGCCATAATTCTTTACAATGTGTTTGTTAGCCCTTCAAAAAAGGGAAAGAGGAAGGAAAGGAATTACTTACATTGGATTTTTGTCTCTAAACATCTGTAAGTTGGGAATCTCTTACATGGCTCAATATCAACAGTCTTGCTAGTCATACTATTTTTGTTTTTGAGTAATACCATTAAATTATTTCAAAAGATCTAAAAGTGTGATAGATTTCCTTTTGCTTCTTTGAATATAATATTTAATGACATGTTTGTGATTTGAACAGGAATTCCTTGGAGTTTCTTTGCCAGGAAAGTGAAGGTTATTAGAGACAGGAATTGTGATAACCATTGGGTTATTTCATTGAATCTAAAGTGCAATGAACAAATAAGGTACACTACGTACTTTGTAGATAAATAAAAGAAGAAAGAAATTCAGCTAAAAAGATTATATAGTGTTCTATTTGAAATCCCAGTGGACTAGAACCATTTGACATTTATATGCTTTATTTCTTGAATATTCTTTGGTATTGTAAAGCTCGCATTTTCAGTCTTTGAATAATGAGATTTTTCTGGAATAATTTAAAATAATTTGAATTTTCGTAGACATGTATACATTAGTTCCTCCTACCTTCCACTAAATTCAACACTTCTATTTAAGGGAATTTGGGCAAATACCAACTAAATTGTGGTTAGCTGTAATAACTGTTCACAATAGTGTATTACGTGACAAAGGAAAAATAATAGTCAAATGCTCCTCCGTGTTTATTCAGAAAAGCTGTAGGCTTTTAATTCCCTGAATCCAGGAATCAGAGTTTTCAACATAAGAGCATAAGAATGTTGAATCTAAAGCCAAATTAAAAACTCTGGTATATTGAAAATTTGACATAGAACATGGAATGACTAGCAATGGAAATAAAATTGTAATTCTAGATTTAATTATGCTTTCAAGATTGGGATTTGTGACAGTGTATCTATTTAATATATTCAATGTTTAGCTTATTTAACCTACTTTTCTATAATATAGCAGATTAAAAAGTAATGATTTGCTGTTTCCCTTGTGTAATGCAAATTATCTGTGCTTTCCAACTAATTAGTGCTTTGTTTTTCAAGACATTATACACACACCTTTTAATTGGATCAAAAACGTAGCAGGGAAGACAATGTTGGAAGTAATTGCCAGTTTTCAGTGAGGAACATTGCAACAATTGGTTTGCATGACTATGCTAAAATGTAATCCAATGTTACATAAAAGTAACCATTCAGAGTGATTTTTTTTGTATATCCAGATGTTGTGTAAAATGATTTTTGCCATGTGAACCTTGTACTTAATCGTGCCCAGCTTATCTGTAAATGCAGTAGAGTATGAAAGTCGTCATCATTGGCCTGCTGCTCTAGCCTAAGAAACTCTGTAGTTCACCCGGACAAAATAAAAGCGGAAAACTCTAATGGTTGATTTGTGAACCTTATTACAATAAGGATCATCCTGTAGAAGTAATAACCTGCCAAACCTCAGAAAATGAGCACGCGGTTCCTTAATTACATAGATACTTATGTCGTAGCAGTTTAATTGTATATAGGGATGAAACTCAATAACAGAAGACAATAATATCAGGTTGATGATTATAGTAATTGTAGCCCATTTGAAGTGGCCTCTGGTTTATGACCGTGCCTTTGAAAATAGTTTGGAATGTTTAATAGCTAAAATTTGAGAGACCGCCTTCTGCCAATTACCTCCCTGCGTCCCATCAGATCGCACAGNTATCCTTGTTTTGCTACTACACTATATCCTTGTTTTGCTACTACACTATTCCTTTCAATAGAAATTATTTTTTTGATATAGTTTGGTTAAAGTGTAAAAAATGCTGTTTTTCTTTATACATACTCATTTTGGGGTTGTTTTTTTTAGAAAACTATTGCCCAGGTCTTAGTACACCTTCATAGAAATGACTACGTTGCTGCAGAAAAATGTGTCAGGGAGAGCTATAGGTAAGTTGCTTAATACATTGATTGCATTTTAATTTAATTTGTGTTTGAGGAGGAACCCGTATACACACTTGTCATTTTATCTCATTAAGTTTTGAGAATTACAGGCTTTCCCTATATATTGCCATTTAGGTATCTCTCTAATTTATTAACATTGTTTTCTGCCATAGAAAATTAAACTCTACAATTTGATTTGAACAATTTGAACATGTACTTCTTTGAAGTGCTCAGGAAGCCAGCTGGCAATTAAACTATATCTGGATAGTGTATAGTAATTACGCTACAACACTATCATAGCAAATTGTATTGTAAAATTGTTGCTTGGAATAATTAACCTGGTGATAAAATCCAGCAAAGAAAGTAAGATTGGTCCTAAATGTAATTGACAATTTGTGTTAGAAGGCCCGTTGTGCATAGGAACAGTATAGGTAATGAAGTACACTTTAAAGAAGGCATTCCGCAGGACAAAAGACATTCTGATCATCACCCAGAATATTTATTTAAGGAAATCTGTGCTTTTCTTATTTGGATATGAGTTTTTTCAATTTTTTAAATAGCTTCAAATAAATGTTTAATTGCTTCAGCATACCAGGCTTTACAGAAAGTGAAGACTATGCAGCCCTGGAGCAGCTCCTAGAAGGGTATGATCAACAAGATCAGGACCAAGTATCAGATGTTTGCAATTCTCCACTCTTTAAGTATATGGACAATGATGTAAGTTGCTGCTTTTATTTACTGAACAGAGTAGCTATTAAAACAAGTAGGGTTTTTTAAATTGAAAAATACAGATGATATAAATCAGTTGCACCACTGATGAGCAATGTATGTTATTGATAAACTACTATAATATATCCAGTATTTAAAATTGAATAATTGTAAGTTACTGCATTCTCTTTACATAGAGTAGAATAGAATTCTTTATTGGCCAAGTGTGATTGGACACACAGGGAATTTGTCTTTAGTGCATAAGCACTCAGTGTGTATAAAGCTATAAGTGATAAATCATGATCATAGTCATCATAAAAATACATTAATCATAAATCATAAGATACAAGACTTAGTGATAGTCATAGGATACTAAATAAGTATGCGGACGATACACAGTTGTATCTGTCCGCCCCGTGCCAACTCAGTGAAGCG